TGCCTCGCCGTTATGTGTAAAATTATGTAAATAGAATGCAGAAACTTATACTATGAGTTTTTACTTTCAAAATGAAATGACGGTTACAATCAATCAATTCAAAACAATTCTCTTAGAACGGCGATGCGTTATTAGGTTGTTGAACGCCTTCAATCACGGTGGCGTTCTGTATGCGTGAGTATCAGGGAAGAATTGAAAGTCACGTTGATTTATCAAATTGGTATTATTGCAATGTTTTTGTGTTGATTCTAAGCTATTTACTCGATTTATGCATTCAACAGTAAACATATCAAACACATGTTAGAGGGTGGTGATAGATTATGCGTTGTGTACCCACTTCCGCTTACGTTTGTTTCATAATTCACACTAATCCGCTTGACTTGTCTTAACACCACTGAAATGACGTCAACGAGGAGTTGCACTTGAATTATACCCACGCACAAAACGTAATCGTTTTTAAGGGTAGACTTGCAAATGTGCTCAGTGCCTTAGATTGAGGATTACTTGTTACAGTGTAGAAAATTAATCAGGCTGGCAAGAAACTCCCAGACATTGATGCCAGATATCGGCTTTCGAGGTAATTTTCAAAAACTCCATTTAATACAACGTCTCAATATCTTTATGATTAGACGATTCATTTGGAAGAAGAAAGGTTATAATAAATGATCAATTCTAATTTTTGTAAACTCCATCCATTGCTATGTGCTGGTTATATGGCAAGAATGACGGTAGCTGGCAAGGGTGGCGCCGTGGTGTCAAAAAACGGTATACAGGAGCTGCGGACGAGCTCACGCAGGCACTATCTTCTTTATAAGCAAACTAATTTCGGCGCTATTCCACATAAGTTGACCCAAAAAATGAAGGTCGTGAATTTCGCTAAAACTTCGTCTAGGGACGTTATTTGCTACGCTGAACACGAATATAATGTTTATTTCGTGCGACAGCGCCATCCGCTGGAGTTACGGTAGGATTACGGTAGGGGGTCAAAATCACGGATTTGCCCGGAACTTGGCCTAGAGGGATTATTCGGCCCGCTGACACCGAATATCACATTGGTTTCGTACTGTAGTGTCATTTTCTCGAGTTACGGTGGGTATACGGTAGGGGGTCAAAATCTCGAAATTTGCTGTAACTTGGCACAGAGGGGTTATTCGACATGCTGATTAGAAATGTCACACTTTCTCCGCACGAAAACGTCTCCCTGCCTGGTTACAGTAGGTTTATGATAGGGGTCAAAATAATCACAAATCGGCAAATGTATCTTCCCCTGTGCTTTGCTTAGGCAAAAGCCGCAGCAGAGTGTGTAGCGCGCGGCGGTGGTCATGTGTGCAAAGCTTCACGATCATCCGAATCGCCATACACCCGTTTCGGGATGAACTATGTTTTACACCCGTTACCGTGTATCTACCGTAACCCGAGAAAATGACGCTACGGTTCAAAACCAATGTGATATTTGGCATCAGCGGGCCGAATTACCCATCTGGGCCAGATTTCGGGCAAATCCGTGATTTTGACCCCCTACCGTAATCCTACCGTAACTCCATGGCGCTGTCGGCGAAATAAATATCATATTCGTGTTCAGCGTACCAAATAACCCCCCTAGACGAAGTTTTAGCGAGATTCACGATTTTCATTTTTTGGGTCAACTTATGTGGAATAGTACCCTAATTTCTAAGTCACATTTTCTTGACGGAAGAAGTCATCCAAAAGGAAAACACAACCGTAGTGAGGGTGAAATAATTTGATTAGCACGGGGTAGTGTGCCGTATTTTAGGTTTTTCTAAGTTTGTACCCCATCAAACACGTCCTGACTTGTTCGAAGGAAGGCCATTCTTATCAAGGTACGTCATTCATAAGTCTCAGACCGGTGCTGCACAAGTTGCACCTCGCGAGTTTACAGGGTCTTCTTAACCCATTGACGACGATGTGGACCACCGGTGGCCTACGAGCTTTTTGCTGCCAGGGACGATGTGGATCCCCGGTGGCCCATATCTCTTGCAAAGTCGTATTATTTGCAAGTCTAGTATTTTTTCCACAAATCAATATTTTTTCCAATTTCTTGTATTCTTGGGACCTGTAGGCTCTGTCATTCAAAAAATGTTAATAGTTGTTTACAAAACAGCGTTGCATTTAATAAGCAAAAAACCTTCTCACATTGAAAGTTTTCTGCAAAGTCGCGTCGTCCCACAGCGCCGCCGCGCAAAATTAGGCGTCGTCGTCAATGGGTTGAAAACCAAAGGAAGCTTTGTCATAGTTCAAGAATATCGGCTTAGGTTTGAACTTTCATGATAACATTATAGAGCTCTGCCGCCGATAATCTGTGCGAAACAGAGAAAAATCGAACAACAGTTGCAAAATAGCACAGCAGTGCGAGGAAAGCGTGCAACGTCGCAAATTCCATTTGTTTCAATCTCCAAAAAACAGCGTTTGTGAAGACCCTTTTCATCGTGCGACGTAGGATTTGGTTACCGTTCGAGACTGAGATCTTTCCTCTAAAATCGAGCGCGAAATCGTCCGTATCGCCATAGGCTGAATGCCTGAAAGCAAGACGCTTGCGGCTCCCGGTTGCATGGGTTATCAAGCGCCAATGCCAAATGTACCCCATGGGCCACTGTGGCAGCCGCTCGCCGGACACGCTCACAGGCTTTCAGCCTACAGCGATACGCGCAATTTCGTGCAGTCGACCATATCTTCAAGGGAAAGACATCCTAAATTGCAGTGGCCAACTGGAATTAATTCGTTAAGTGAGTCTTGATGGTCTGATTCCAAATCACCTTCCATATCTGCTGCCAGTTTCTTTGAAGAAATTATGAGCAATTAAGGGCGTGAAGTCGTTGAGGTTTCAATGCATAATCTGGTTTGATCCAGCTTATAAGTGCGTACCTGGCAAAATTAAAAAAACTAAATTTCAAAAGGATGCCACTGAACGTTTTCCGTATTTGGATCCCGAAACGATTATAACTTTTTCCAAAGAATCCCGCAGCAGATACGAAGGTTAAAATAGGATTTAGCTCAATAAGAATCATTTGAAAGCATATCTTTCTAAATCCCCACTCCGGTTTGGAGTCCTTTATAGTCAGAAAACATAATTCAAAGACTTAATTCAAAGACTCGGGTATGGAATCAGACACGCTTTCACAGACATAGCATTCAGTCAGAGTGATGAGGTCATTTTTTACTAACGGCTAGAAATCGGTCTTAGCTAAAGGAAACTTGGTATCTTTCTTTTTCGATTTCTCAGCTTTCAAACAAATTTTTTTATCCTCGCATGTGTCCCGCTTATGCAGGGTCTGCTTTTGATGTCAGAAGTCTCCACGCCATCCTATCTGAGGCAAGGACTTCGTATATCAAGTTCCCGCAGGTCGGCATTGATTGTGTCCATCCACCTCATCTCGGGTCTACTTCTTGGTCTTTTGCCTGGTGCCTCCACAGCTAGAGCTAACTTCGTGATGTGACTTTCATCCCTGAGCTTCCAAAAATGGAAGCAAAAAAACATTTTCGGCCTTGCTGCTTTTTCGCTCATAAAGAAGAGCTTTTTTGGACAAGAATTGCCGCAAACAATGGAAAATGGCTTTTGTAAGCCAATATACAATAATAATCGAGTGCTACGGAGAAGTAGTCCTAAAGGAAAGAGGGCCCTCTGGCCAAAAGAATTTTGTCCCGATTTGATAAATAACATTTGGCTATGCAGACCACCTCCAGCTTTTTGGTACGAGCTCATCTAATTATACACCACCTTGACCTGAATCACAAAAGGTGAGAAAAGTGCATGCAAAAATTTTTTGATTTCGTCAAGTCTGCCATCTGCAGCCGGAACATTGGGCAATTTCAAAATTGAAAAAATACACAGCGGACTACTTTCACTCGAATTTCAGCTCCTGGATTTCCTGCTATAACTTCCAGATTTCCAGATTCTCCCAGACTATGCAAAGAGGAACCAGTCTGCATTTACGCAAATGTACTTTTTTATCGAGATGATCGTAGACACAACAACATCAACGTCAAAAAAATCCTACGCAGGTGTGATTCAGTGTGTTTCGCATAATAATGAGAGCATCACGAATGGGTACGCCATCGGTTAACCGCTAATCCTCTCGACATTTCGTGGGGGCGATAGATTTTTATATCGACGGTATCAGTTCGTTCACATTATCATGTTCCCTATTTTCACAGCAATCATTTCATTCGTGACCCAAACTTTAACACTGTAAATTACAGTACCTTGGGTCATTGACAATTAAACGCGCTCATCTTCTCGAAGTGCAGCTAGAACAAATTACATTCTCTTTTTCATGTCCCTATCTCACCCAACTTATAATACGATTGCTTCAATAAAAAAAAACAGTACAAGACACTATTTTTGCACTTTTATTCAAAAAGGTAAAAAATCGAGTATCGAATATTTAATAAGTCGAATATTCATCCCATCAAATAGGGACCAGCGTCGTTAAAATAATTTTTTTTTTCAATATGACGAACGCATAGTTACTTAGTTTAATTCCTACAATCAAAACCTAGCAGCAACCGTTTATTTGATTTGGATTCGCTTGAATTCACTGATCGCTAGGTTGATGAGAAATTCTGCTCCTCTATTTCCAAAACCGCGTAACCTCCAATTTCATCAAATCAACAATAAATTCGTGCAAAAATTAGAATAAACAAATATATTACCAATAAACAGGCCAAAACATAATAAAACAGAACACAAAATGGAGAAATTGAGTTTTTTCTTCTAAGTGTGACACACACAGCTTTTTCAAAAATATCTGATCATCGTGATTTCCAAAAAAAAATCGAACAACATTCGAAAATCTTCCTTGTGACCATCTCAAAAATTGCGATTTCCGGATTATATTTGACTGATTGATTTCCTTGATGTATTAATGATTCACTTTAAAAGCCACTAACATAATTTTGTCTCTTCATATACGCATAACATTAAACATCCAGATATAGAGATCGGACCAATTCGACAATTTAAAAAATTAAAGCTCAATCATCAGTTTCAGTACGGTAATTTCAATTCCCACCTTAGCTTGGAATGAGGATATTGTCAACACTCATCATCACTCTTGCATTTGTGCTTCACAGCACTCTTTCTGTAGATGACAAATTTGCTCAACTTTCTGATGACAAAAAACAAGAACTGGAGCAGGTTTGTTTATGTCATTTAATCTGCTTTTCATATTTATTGGTGAATCATACATAACTATTATTGTATCGATTGATTAAAAAGTAATGAAAACTATACATTAATGTTGATTAACCCCATGTTTACAATAGAACGAGTGTTATCAAACATCAGGTCCAAATGGAGATCACCCAGAGGATTAGCGGTTCAGCGCTACCATAGCGAGTATTTTCTGAACCTCATTTTTTCAGGCCTTCAGTCGTTCTGATGTCCTCTTGGTGCACGAAAAATTAGCGCAAATACGGCAGAAAACGATGCAGCTGTTACAGCAGGAAGATACTGATTCGAGGCTGCCACAACAGCGAATATCAAATAGGATCTTGGTGGGTGGTATCATTTTTTAATCGAATCATCTCTTGCTTCTTCTGCCTTTTGCTTGCTCTACATATTGCATTCATTTGACTGTATTCAAATAAAAACACCTACTATTCGCAGGTTTTGAGCTGTATCAACTCCAGCAGCACCAATTATTAGGTGGAACATAAGTCTTGCACCAAAAATTCTAGGAAATTCATGTAAAAATGAGGCAACCATTTGAATCTCTGAAAAGCTTCTCATGCATACACTATGATTACAATATGTGAAGTGTTTTATCATGCATATAAAAAAATTTAATCTGAACAAAATCAAAGTTCGATAAAAGAAATTTGAAAATCTTAGCACGAAGACACTCCAGTGAAAAGGAATAAGTCTTAAAATTTCAATGAAAGCGGATTTAGAGGTTGCTAGACCTTCCAACTTTTCTAATTACCGAAAGAGAATAGAATTTTGAAATTCTAATAAAAAATGAAAAATTTCTGCTTATCAACTTTTATCGCCGCTTTGTCAACAATAACAACTGTTCTACTATAAGAAACTGCAACATTTTCTTTTTCCCTATTGAATTATATCGAACGGATTTATGTTTGGAGAAAATTACGATTTTCCGAAATTTTTGCGAGGCTAGAGTATTGTTCCAATCCAGTGCTTGCGTAACCATGTTGTTTATCTCACTTAAGCCAACCTTCTCTGGTACTATGCAAAGCTTTTTGTTTATTTTCGAAACATCGATTTGCAAATCAAATAGGGCGTTAACTCCTATTTAGGCAAGTGTAAGAGTGATTAACTGCATTTGTTTTTCTGATTTGTATGACACATTCGTATGCATATCTAAATAAGTTATGCTGGACTTTTCACTTCTGGCTCCTCTTTCAAACCCCTCCACCCTTTGTACAAATTCTGAAAAATTTAGATACATGACAAACAAATTAATGATTGTACGTGCTACTACTAGTTTTCTGTAGTCAATTATCGTCCTCGGAACAGAAAGTATCAACATTCTCTTGAAGGCATGTAAACTTGCACAATTATTCAATTATTCGAATCAGGGACCTGCACAGGTGTACCAAAGTCGGACTAGACCTTGTTTTTTTGCAAACAGCAAAAGAGATATTGCAAAAAAAGTACTTACACTTCCTAAATTCGCAATAGTTGTGCGATTCATAGAGGACTTCGCTTTCAAAAAAAATTAAAAATAAAACATGCAGAACCTTGATCCGACTTTGTGCTACCCTTTAGTCCTGAAATTTCTTTGTTCCCTATAACTATGTGGCATGATTTTAACACATAGAGATTTTTTAATCAAAGCCTCCTCTGATTTAATGCTAAAAAAGTTCAAAGAACTTTGAGACATGCTACAATTTGATATCGACACAATTTCATGACCTTTATTTAGGCTTACAAAGATACGGTATTCAAGAGGAGCGCGCCAACCGTTAGGCCTATACACCAAATTAACAGGGAATCAAATTTGAGCGAATTTCTATACCAAGCTGACATGGTTCTAACTCTGTAAGTTCTACTTTTTAAGACTTTTTCGAACATTCGTATTAATCTGTGTGAGATTTCCAGACCACAAGCTGAGCAAGTTGGTGGAGGAACTGGAGGAAGTTCCACACCTACTAGCCGGCGAAGACGACAAGCTTATCGAGATGCCTATTACCCAAACACGATCTGGGGTAGCACTGTGTATTACTACTTCGATAGAACAGCCAGTGAGTTCTTAACAGGTTTTTGATCTATTTCAAGATAAGGACCTTCTTTACTTCAGCTACTGCGATAAAGAACGCTTTTCTGGGTGCAACACGGTTTTGGGCAAATAACACATGCATCAGTTTTGAGGAGAATACACTCAGTAAGTTGATACGAACACAGCCCAGTGACAGTGAGAGAAAAGGAGATATCGAAAGCTGAATTTCAGGCCCCAATAGGATTCGCGTGTTCAAAGGGCAAGGTTGTTATTCGTACGTGGGCAGGGTAGGCGGTCAGCAGGATTTATCCTTAGGAACCGGATGCGAAAGTGTAAGAATAATTTAAACTTGTGGCTTATCACCTGCCAAATGACATATCTTTAGGTTGGGACAGCTGCTCATGAGCTTGGTCATGCGCTGGGATTTTTTCATTCCCAGTCAAGAGTTGACAGAGACGATAATATAAGGATAGTAGTTGCTAATATACAGGTAATCTATAGATGAATTTCAATCATTCAGTCTTAATATGATTTACAAGACTATAGCGGTGAGGTCAATGACTGTGCTACAAAAAAAGGTCAAATCTCAGCAGCACCATTTTGCGTACTACAGCAAAAAAATTCCGAAGATAAAATAAGCATATCAGGGGGAAGTTTTGTTGTACTCAAAGGAAAAAACCCTCATGACTTTCTCCAAAGATATTTTCTCATCTCCAAATTGAGTGGAGGCCTGTAACTTTTCTATATATACATGCCACACGTGGAAAATCAACTTTTATTTTTTGAAATTTTTCTGAATTACTTTTGGAAAATTTCCAACTTGCGCCATCGAACAGCCTAAACTTCCAAACTTCCCTCATATTGATAGATCTTTCTGGGACTCCAACAAATCTGAGAGCGTAGAAAATAAGAATAGGGAATTTTTAAAGACAAAAGAAAAAATGGAGATTTGAGTGCCGTCACAAAATTGCCTTCATATTTACTGTAACATACCTGTAAAGGTGGAAATGATGCCAATAGATACTCCTTAGTCCACTGCTCATATGTACTTAATATTAGACTTTTCAAAGATTCTAGAATTTTTCAGAAAAAAAATGAAAAAAAGTGTCACAAAACCTATGTTACGACCCAATAAATTAGAGCATGCGTGCTGCATAAGCATTTTCGAAGAGATTTGTAGTCTCGTAAAGTAAATAAATCCAAAAAAGGCATTATTTTTGACTAATCCAAAGGTACATTTATTTTAAATGGTCGCTCATTCCAGCCTGATTACGTGGACCAGTTTGACAAAGAAACGGCTGCGACAAATTATAATTACGGAATGCCTTATGACTACGGGAGTATAATGCAATACGGAGCAACAAGGTACTAATTTTTAGGAACAACAACCTTTGCTTTCCAGCTAGTAAATAATTATATTCGCTATGGTATTATTTTAGCGCATCCAACAACGGTAGACCTACCATGATGGCAAGAGACGAAGCCTATCAAGAGACTATGGGATCTGATATAGTGGCATTCTACGATGTTTCTATGATGAATGAGCATTATGATTGCAAAGGTTGGTTTTGCTTCCAAATCGAGATTTAGAATTACTGCCTGCCTGCCGTGCCTACCTTTTCTTCAGTTATCCAAAATCGTAAAATCATAGCTCGCTAAGAGACTCCAAGTGTCTCTGAACTGCACAGTCAGAGGCAGCGTCCACTCAAAATTTTGTCTCCCATGTTTTTGCCATTCCGGAGCCTTTTAGTGGCCCTGATTACAGCTATGAAGTTCAAATAGTCCAGAACCCCCCAAAAACCGATTCCTGAGGACCCTGTCTTGAGAGCGCGGGCGGCTTTCAGTACATGGGTGGGCGGAGTCTGATAGGACCTCGGCGGGGCCCGATAGCACTTTGGCTGTTCCAGACCCTTTATCTCCATTCAGAGACAACATCAGAGGACGGACAAACGCAGATGCCTCTGTGGGGCCTACATTCAAGGTCGACCCTAATCGTAGAGGGTTAGATTTAGCCTGCCTGGACACTGCCTTTATAGAGATCACTGTGGATTCCTATAAATTATAATTCTGGATTCATTACAAAGCTCCTCCTTGATCCTTTGTTTTCCGCGACAACGTACAGAAGAACGGCTTCTTAATTCAAAATGATGTATCATTTTTCAGCAAGATGTCTAGCAGCAAACACACAATGCCAAAATGGAGGCTTTCCCAATCCGAACAACTGTGACGTATGCATCTGTCCGAGCGGTTACGGTGGCACTCTGTGCAATGAAAGGGTTGGTACTTAATTTTTCTTTATAATCACTTTCCTCTGATACCTCCTATATTTTCTTCTGAAATGCTGACATCTAGAAAATACACCAGTATTTTATGTTGAAAAGTGTATCTTGCAGCCTGATGGATGCGGTGAAACGTTGACAGCTGGACCATCGTATGCCCTTATGACTAGTCTCATTGGTGACGGAACGACCCGAACAAAGGTCGACTTTGTTAAGTGCACATACTGGATTCAGGTAAGGAGGTTTATTAGCTGACTACTCAACTTGTCCTTTCAGTTTTGATGCTAAACTGTCCGATTTAGGCTCCCGAGAACACAAAGGTTCAAATCCGCATTGATAGCTACGAAGGTTATTCTGTGGATGGCTGCATTTACGGAGGTGTTGAAATAAAGTCACACCCTGACCAACTAAGAACGGGATATAGGTAAGCGCAAGTGGCGTTCCAGGAGCTTTTTGTGCAAATCAAGTGGGGGGGGGGGGTATGTTTCTTGAGAAATCCACTTTTAGAGCTTTTCCGTCAGTGATTTACTAAAAGATTTTTGGGAAAGGATGAAAATACCAAGCTAATGCAATGTCTACAAACTTATAACCGTCTATATGTTTAAAAAAGTATGTGATGCGAAGTAACATAACCCAGAAAAATCTCCCAAAAAGAAGACGGTAAGGGAGTGGGGCGCGAGGTGTGGTTAGCCTAAGCTAATCCAACCAAAGTTTGTAAGAACGGATAACTTCTCAATAAGACTAATCTTTCTGTTGAGTTTTGTAGAATTGATCAATCACATATAAAATGTCCCAATTTTGCTGAAAAATGATTATTGCAAATTTTATTTCATCTTATTTTCTAGATTTTGCTCCAGTAGCGACATCGGCACAGTCCTTATCTCCTCTTCGAACCTGCTCCCCGTTATCACATTCAATCGTTATGGGAGATCTCGAATAGGCCTCAGCTATCGTTATGGTGTGTCTCTAACTCTAACGAAGATAAAAAATAGGACAATCATTTTATTATTTCAGTTGGTGAACTTGTTACAAGCGATGTCAGTGTTGTACAAGTAACAGATCCGGTACCTCTTGTTACAAATCCGCCCATACCGCCACCGACACCGGTCATCACAGTCCAACCACCTCCGATCAGGACAGCCCCACCCCCGACTACCACGACCACAAGGCCGATGGTCAGATGCGTGGACTTCTATTATGAGTGAGTTTTGTTGAGCACATCGCCTAAAAGAAAACTAAAAGTCTTTTTTTGCAGTTGCGGTATCATTGCATTCTTCGGGTACTGTCGCTCTCCAAGTGTACGTATGCAATGTTTACGAGCTTGTGGAGTGTGTTGATGATAATAAAGTTTTGGAGCCTTTTTCAAACATATATGTACATAAATCTTCAATAAAGTTGGCAGATACAAGTTTGATCTTTGAATAACAGTTAAATCTGCGCATAATACTACAGCAATCATATTATAGCTGTAAAGCATCAAGTAATGCCTAGAGACCCACAAAATAATCGTTAACAAACGGCTATGAAATTTTTGCCGTTCTATGGTATTGCCTCAGTTTCGTTCCTATCTATCAGACATCTCATAATGTGCTTTCAACGTTGATTTAGCAAGGGTATTGAGGGGTACAAGTCTTTTCCGATGATGAATCATGGCAGGGTCCTGCGGCAATCTGACTGCTAGTGCACTCCATCATTTTTGTTTATTCATCTATCTGTCTAATCATTCATTCATTCATGTGATGTATGGACTAAATGTAGACGTAAAGACAGAAACATAGGTGCAGATCAAACTCGTAAAGTTAGTTTACGCTTGAACAGAAATTTTTTTAGCTCTCGAAATCCCCATACGGCTGTTTCCGAAAGGAAACGTGTGAAAGCAGAATACGAAAATTAGGCAGAGCACAACAGAAGCATTCAAAAAGCAGCAGAAACTGAGTAAAGGAAATGCTTTGATACGCTGTATTTTTGGAAAATGATACCAATAAAAATTGGAAGAACTAGAAGAGACTTGAAGAAAATGGAAGAGACAAGTTAATGTCTGGGATGCAGGACAAAAGCTGACTACAATGATATGGCTTAGTTGAGGTCCCAAAATTCTGGAATGTTCAAAGTTTCCAGGACGCTAATTTGGGCCAATCCTTCTTAGAATTGCTGAGCTACTGCTGGAATTTGGCGAAAGGTTGAAACATCTTGATGTCGAAAACATAAATGAGTTGTTGAATTGAATGTTTCGAAAATCCATAATCGAAAAGGAGTTTCAAAGCTTTTAACTCGAATAGGACGATTGAGACTGATATGAAAGCATAGGCGAACTCCTCTCTCGAAAATTTTCCTAGCATTCCTTTGACACTCTCCCAATTCCAATCATACTCCGACTCCTCCCCCCCCCTCCAAGAAAGAACGTATCGAGTTAGGCATCCGCCGCCTTCAGGCCAGCCTTTGTCTGGATGCTTTATTTTCGCGTTCATACGGGGCTTACATTGTGAGTTCCTCATATTAAGAAAGTAAGGCCGACAATGATTGTTCCGTCACTTTCTTTGGATTACCCTTTAGATATAACAAATTGCTGTCATGCAAGACAAAATGCGACATTCTTACCTTACATGAGTAAGTGCACGCTTCTCAAAGACTTGAAATAGTTGTGAGAGATGTCAACTAGGGTCAAATCTAGCTGGTGATAGCGCGAGTTTCCCGTGCCTCCCCAACCAGTATCGAAGAGACGCACCATAAAGAAGTAGGTCACTGACTATCTGTTAATTTAGCCTTATATGAGAAACACTGGGAATAAATCGCTTTTCTAGCCTTTACGACATGATCTACGAACGAGTAAGTTGACATTATCTCAGTGTTATCTGTTGCAAAACTGACTTTTTAGCTGCTAGCGCTTTTCTTCATAGCGGCTCTGTTCGCCATAGTTCATAGTCAAGCCAGTAATGGAACCACCGAGAAACCGTCGTGTAGAGATGTACTTGGTTCGTTTAAAACCGTTTTACATATCAGAATGCTGTGATGTCAACAGTTCATTTCAGAAAGCTGCGATCTGTTCAAAGAGTTTTGTGGGGAACCGTCATGGACTTCGCTAGAGGGTCACTGTGATAAGACTTGCGGATTTTGCGAGGACACATCATCTTAATTCCATTGTGACTTTCTACATGGCTGTATTTCTGATCATCCGGCTTTTCCTCACTGTATTATTGAATGTCATGAGAACTATCACAATTATTGAATTTATAGTTAACTTTTGGATCTGGTTTTATCATAAACGAAAGCCGGTTTTGTTTCGAAAGGACTGCTTGAAGTAGACATAATTATTTCGCATATCCTTTAAGAAGCACAGACCTTCATCACGTTCAAGGATCGGATGCTACCAGCAATTCAAATTACAAGTGGCCAATTTTAAAGACATCCTTCTTTACTGGTGCTTTGCTAGCGACGCAGGTTATTGAGGTCCATTTTTTATACGGTTATGGGAAATCAAGTGGTACCCAGGTCAATGAAATTGACAAAAACATCAAATTCTGTTATCAGCGCAATACGAAAACGAGCACTGCAATCAAGCTCAATTATCGCTTCGTTCCAGCTCTGTCTCGATCATTTTACTCGGGAAAACAAACCTTAGCCATTTTCCAGAGATTGTGTTTAGATGAAACGAAGGGAAGAATTTCGTGATTTCGAGTATTTAAGCATATTATTTGCCAAGATAATGTTTCTATTTCCCCCTACTCTTTCCGTTTGTCGGTCTTGCTACCAAATGACCAAATGATGATGTGAAAAATTATGCAGAGTACGGCGTTTTTGATCCTTTCGTGATGAATAGTGACGTTGTACGGAAGAATCTTTCAATTAAAAGGGGAACGGGACTTATATGCCCCGAAAGGCTTGCCGCCACATAGCTAGCGGCATCAGAGAGGCACGAATTGGTAGCAATGCCATTTGCACCCAATTTGCGCCGATTACGAGCTGATTCTGCACTAACTCTGTCATCATCCTAGGCACTGAAATTTCAAACTCAAACTTCAGTAATGAACTTTGTCCAATTAGGGTAAAATTTGTACATTCTGTCATGTTGTTTCCGATCATGATGGTATTTTGCTCGGAACCTTCGAATTTTTATCTTTTCAAACTTTAGACTTGTTTTCGGGGACGAGTGGCGTAGTGGTATGAGGCCCCTCTATGACCAAATCGGACACAGGTTCTATCCCCGCCCCCGGGCCAACCAAACCCTCTACCCTCCGGGGCCGTTAAATTGGTACCAGAGTAATCTGGGAGGATAAAAGCACTGACTTGGAAACGGCTGGCCCCCGCAAGTCACTAATAGGCTCGCACGCATACAATTGCCTCTTCGACTATGAAGTTAGTGTGTGCGTTCGGCGCATGCCCCCAGAGGGTATTGAAAACGCCAAATCCTTTATCCTTTACTATTAGACTTGTTTTCAGAATTTTCCGGGAAAAATTTCAAAATAGGTGCCCAAAGCTTTTCTATGATGCTGCATCCGAAAACGCTGGTGGCTTCTCTTGAAACCAAAATTCAGTAAAATACATGAAGAAAGTCAAAATTTTGAAAGAAAATTTTTCGAAGCCAAGCAAAATCAGCGGCATGTTCGAATACAGCACCATAGAAAACCTTTGGGTAGGAATTTTTGAATTTTGGCTGAAGAATTTGTAAAAGCAAGTTCAGAAAAGGAAATAAATCCAAGGTTCAAAGCAAAACCGCTACCACCATTTTTGGCAACATGATGACAGAATTTCCCTGAATGCGAATTTTTACCTCAAATGGACTAAATTCGCTACCGAATTACAAGTAAATTTTGATAAAATCCTGGTTTGGGTGTGTGCCCTTCTGAAGCGCTCCGTTCTAGCGCTAATTAATCTGCTCGGGCAACGCTAATTACTTCGCCTTTCTTATAATCTAGCAGAGTTTTCAAATATTTCTGAGCATTCCAAAACAAGTGAGGCACACGACAATGATAGTGAGGATGTTGGAATTATGAAGACAAAAAGCTTGTAAGGTTGCATGTTTTTGAGGCCATTTCGTGATTTCTTCGCAGTTCCCAGCTTAAAACACCCTGAAAACTGCACGTGTAAGCTGAAGAATTTACCTAAGCCACCAAATAAAACATTTTCGAGTATCATGAAAATCGAAATCTTGTTTGATTCTTTCTATCATGAGAATGCCTTTGCATCCAATTCAGACGTTTCTAAAGACAGCATAGCTCTCGCTCATTTAAGCGGCGGCAGCACCGACCAATCAGAGGCGCGCAGTAATTAGGCTGCTAATGTTAGCGGTTCAGAAAGGCCGTCTTCCTCCTGGTTTTATGAAGTGTAGGATGATAGCGGAGTTATGGTGTGCAAAATCAGCTCTTCTCCGTGCGAACTGGGTGCAAATCAGCCTCGCTGACAGTTCATGACCTCTCATGCTCCCTGATAACTGCCTTCGAGGTAGGTAAGATCCCTCATCCCAATTAGACATGATGTACAAGCCGTGGAAGAGGTCTATGAAAACACCGACGGACACTTGTTCATATTGTTTCTTTGTTATTTTTTCGACATCAAGTATGCTTCAAACACTCTCCTACTTATCTATGTATATCTTTATCTTTATTGATACGTGCAAAAGCACGTAAGTAAATGAAAGAACAAGGAATAACCTGTAAGGCAAGAGACCGACGAATGGAGGTAGAAAATTGAGAAAACAAGAAAAACAGTAAGAACAACGACAGGAAAACAACCAAACAATTGAGAACATAAGAATGGACCAACTTCAAAATATTAATGATCAAGAAGTAGGATGACTTGTAAGCAGTTGGGCCAAGATGTTTTTAAGAGCGTCTCGTGCCAATAACTTATAGGTCAGGCAAAATTTTTGAGACGAAAAACTTTGCTCTCAAAAGTGTTTTAGCTTTTGAGGCTCTAAGTTTTGATACTCCCCCTTTCGTTCTAGAAGGATAAGCATCAAACAAATTCGACGAATCGGTCTTACATCTCCCATTCAACCACTTTAACAGCCATCGAGAGGTCGAAATTTCGCCTTTGGAGTGCTAAGCTAGAAAGCGATAACAATTTAGAACGTTCCTTAACTGCTGGTATAAGAGAATAATTTGAACCCAAAACTCTTAAAAATAACTTTCGAGCGAAATTATTTCAAACACCTCTAATGGTGGCGATATCACGGGCCTTATATTGTGCAGTAGCAACAGTGTCAAATTCAACAATAGGAGGTATACACATTTTATACGCCCTAATCAGAACATTGGGGTTAGAGGTACGAAGCGCCTTGAATGAAATGTATGTCGGCGAACGGCTTTGAAAACAACAACGTTGTAGTGACCAGAGGACTAAAGCTTGTCATTGAATATGAAGCCCAAATCTTTGATTTCAGTAACTTTACTCGGATTAAATTTGTCTATACTATAGAAGTAAACAATTATTTTACTTCCCAATGACATGACTTTGGTTTTGTTCGGGGCTAAAGGTAGTGCATATTTCTCAGATCAACGAGGCACCGCGTTGATGCAGGACTTTAATGATACGTCAGATGAAATGCGCATGATTTTATAATTTTTTATATCATCTGCATACATCACACATTTGCAAGCCTCAGCTTCGACTATTCCGGGTATCAAAATTATTAGGTTGTCCCGAAAGTTCTGTCGCACCATGTTCAAAAGTTCATAACTTTTGTTTTTTCTGACCGATTTGATTGCTTCTATATTTATATAAAAGAGTAAGTCATGTTTTTCATAAAAACATCTTAGCTGCTTGCTAATGATCATCTGTTGCATAGATAGGAGCGATAGAAGAAAATTAGTCAAAATTGGAATTTTCTGTGTAGGGTCATAAAAGATCGGAAACTTGCAACAAAAATCGGAGCAGTCGGTATTGTAGGTTCTTCCATCAGCTCTTCCTAACCGTGCAAAGTTTGCGCTGATTGAGCGTCTCTATGAAAAGGATTTCCAGCAAATAATAGAAAACGGCGAGTTTGATTTATTTTGGTATTTTTCAGAGAAATCGTATCTTTTCACAGAGATGCTCAATCGGCGCAAACTTTGCACTGTTAGAAAGAACTGGTGAAAGAACCCACATTAATACGACTGCTCGAATTTTTGCTGCACGTTTCCGATCATAGGTGCGATAAGGTGAGAATGACCCTTCCAGGGTAAAGGAGGTTACAGTAGTCGCAGCCCCTCCGGGTTAAGGGTGTTTCACTTGGTAGAGAAATTATAAAATTTCGACCGTCGACCGGGGGGGGGGGGGGGAAGCCATGGTGTTCTCTCATCATTTTTCCTAGTCGAAGTTTATAATTTTCAATTCCTTGCCATCATTGGTTGTCTTTTTTTTTTGAAATGTGAATCGATGTGCTGCTTGATTAGCACACAATTATATTTCTGATTAGCACCTTGTATTTTTTGCATTTCCTTTTTCATTTTTTACATTACCTCGCCTGTTTTTGAAATTACCATAAAAGATGTGAATGCGAGAAGATTTGTTTCGGAAAGACTTCGAAAGTTTTTAAATTTTTTCGAAAGCGAATTTTCTGAAAGAAAAAATTTGTATTTTGTGTAAATGAACAGCAACGTCAGCAAGGAAAATGTCTTTGAAACCACCTTGTCCTCCGCTTTTAGAGAATATAAAGTTTGCCTGGAGTCTATCGAAAGGGCCTGGAGAAGGGTGTGGTACGGTGTGATTTTTGGAGGTTTACGAGTTTTTTTTAGGATAGAAAAAAATCCGTAACTTTTGTAAGTGAGCATCATGTACGCCGACATGGTCATTCTTGGAACCGTCACGTCCTTCACTTTCGGAAAATTTACAGCATGTCCGAGATCCATAAAAAGTGCCTGGGTAAAGGATGTCGTAGTGATTCCTGAAGATTTTCGAGTTTTTAACATAGAAAATTCATAACTTTTGTAGATGAATATCTTGTACGCTGAAATAGTCACCATTGGGGTCGTCTCGTCCTCCGCTTTCAGAAAATGTACATTTTGCCTATGGTCCGTTGAAAAAGAGCCGGATGAAGGGTGGTTGAGACTTTTATAATGGGAGTGCTCAGGTAGAAGCTTTTTTACCATTGTAAATGGACGTCTACTTGAGCACTCCCATCATAAAAATCTCACCTCCCCTTCACCCGGCAATTTTTTAACGGACCCCAGGCATAGTATATATTTTCTGGAAGCGGAGGACCAGACGGTCTCAATGGTGACCACCAACAGCATGTATTATCTATTCATCTACGAAGGTTATAAATTTTTTATGTAAAAAAATCGGTCCCCAAATGTCATTAGGCACACCCTTCATCGCAATTTTTTCAACGAACCCCAGTCATCTTATATATAAAGCTGAATGTCTGTTTGTATGTATGTATGTCTGTATGTATGTACGTATGTTCCGAAAAATTCCATTTCTGAACCGATCCGGACCAAACTTGGCACACATACACTTCGGGCCCCGGCGGGTGTCATAGGCTACTTTTCGTCATCGATCGATATCGATTTTATCGATTTTTTGCAAAATTTGAGCTAGGGGGCTGGAATTTGGCAGAGGGGTGTAATCGAGCATGCTGATCACCCCCCACGGGGCTTAGTATTTAATATTCTTAATATTATGGCTTAATGTTTGCAAGTGGACGGGGTCTGGCGAGGGGGTGGGGTCCGCAGACTTCTAGAATGGATTTCAGGCTTTCCAGACGCGCTTTTTTGCTCCAGACTTCACTAGATTGGATGGAAGGTCTGACCTTGCAATGCTGTAAAATCCCAGTGCCCATCATCTTGAAGGCACGCTACCTATAGTGATCTGAAGATAAAGGAAATTTTCCAAAAAAATAAAAAGATATCGAGCCACATCAAGAAAAAAAATGAGAATCGCTACAATTGTGTATTTAGAAGTGGAGTTAAACTATTAGGTTGGCTCGAAAGTTCTGAGACATTTTCGAACTAGATGTGCTATTTCTCGAAACTTAACGCATACGCATCAGGTAGAGGCACCATTCGATAGAGCAAAGCAAGCTCTACAAGATGGTATGCAAAAGTTCGCACCAGCTTCGACCCACCGTAAGTTTGCACCCAAAATCTGAGTAGTACTACAATTCAAAAAATCGCGAAAAATTCATATCTTTGTTCAAACAAATCCTACGGATCTCCAACTTGCTCACAAAAATTGCGCACTACATCAAACACTCATATGCACCGTTGCTATATTTTTTCCTCATCTAGAAATCGAGAAATTAAAAATTTTCTTGTTTTTACAAAAACGAAGCTATGCTATTTCCACTCATGTAATTATATAGTACAAGCCCTTAGTAGTATGATCGTAATTTTTCAGCTTTCTACAGGCTCTAGTTCCCGAAAATTACCGAATTGAGCTCTCCTCACTCGAGCGTTCCATGCTAAAATCAATATTTTTCGACAACTAGGGCTTACGGAAAGCTGAAAAATTACGGTTATACTAACAAGGGCTTGTACTATATAATTACATGAGTGGGAACAGCACAGCTTCGTTTTTGTGAAAACAAGAAAATTTTTATTTTCTCGATTTCTAGATGAGGAAAAGACACAGCAACGATGCATATGAGTGTTTGATGTAGTGTGCAATTTTTGTGAGCAAGTTGGAGATCCGTAGGATTTGTTTGAACAAAGATATGAATTTTTCGCGATTTTTTGAATTTAGTACGACTTAGATTTTGGGTGCAAACTTACGGTGGGTCGAAGCTGGTGCGAACTTTTGCATACCTTCTTGTAGAGCTTGCTTTGCTCTATCGAATGGTGCCTCTACCTGATGCGTATGCGTTAAGTTTCGAGAAATAGCAGATCTAGTTCGAAAATGTCCCAGAACTTTCGAGCCAACCTAATACTAAATGCTCTGTCATTCTCTAAGATTGCTTTATACGAGAATCTTTTATGAGTATCTTGACACTGCCAAGAAACTCATAAAAGACACTCATATGATCTAACACCCATAATTTCGGTTGATTCAAGAATACAAGTACATTTCTTACGGAAATTTTTCTCGAAATTATATGATAAATAAAGATGAGATGATAGATGGTAACCGCACTTAAGATGATTGTAAAGTGTTTTTACGTTTGACTTGATGCTCTTAAAATGAAGACAGTAATAGCTATCCGGTTCTTTGAAGAAAGATGAAAACTTTGAAAGCTACATAAAAATCAAACCCGAAATAGACAACGAAGTCGCTCAATGGATGTGAATGGCTGTGCTCTGTAAAAAATGCTCTTTTCATTTCCTCCCCCCCCCCCCCCTCCCGGCCGCTCTCACGATATCATCTTTGCCATGTAGGGGCTTTCTCATTCCCCTTCCATTCATCAAAAATCTGTCTGGGATGAGTGAGAGTGGTGAGCTTATAATTTTTGAAGGACAGGTGACTGGGACAAAATCTGCAAAGTGACGATAATTCTGAAAGCAAATCCCATTTATTTATTTATTTCAAACTGTCCAGGAGCGCTAGGAAAGAATATTCTTTCGTGCCTTTTTGTTCATCCAAATCGAACTGGCTGCGTTTCACGGAAAATGGGAAGTTGCCGCAGGTCAACATCTGATTCAGCGGCAATGATATGCAGTGACATGCAAAGAATTCTTTGATATTTGTTTATCAAAGTGTAGGCGTCATGATTACGTGGCACACATAAGACGCAATAAAAACTAGAAGATGATAGTGTTTGTGAGAAAAGTTTGATTCTGAATGAAACAACAACTTTGCTCTCAAAAATCATTTCGCAATTTTTGTGCGAAAGGTTCACCTTGGCGTCATGATTCAAGTGATTGACAGATTGTTCAAGCCTAGTATGGCAACGCAAATTGCACTTCGTAAAATAAGTCATAATATCAGCTATTTCCTGAATAGACCGAAATTTTATACGGTACTAGCTGGCTTACCCGGCTCCGCGTATGTTCCGAATAGAAAATTCCATTTCTTAACCGATCCGGACCAAACTTGGCACACATACACTTCGGGCCCCGGCGGGTGTCATAGTCCACTTTTTGTTATCGATCGATGTCGATATACCCCCACGGGGGTGATCAGCATGCTCGATTACCCCCCTGTGCCAACTCCCAGCCCCGTAGCTCGAATTTTGCAAAAAATCGATATAATCGATATCGATCGATACGAAAAGTAGCCTATGACACCCGCCGGGGCCCGAAGTGTATGTGTGCCAAGTTTGGTCCGGATCGGTTGAGAAATGGAATTTTCTATTCGGAACATACGGCGGAGCCGGGTAAGCCAGCTAGTAGTGTATATTTTCTGAAAGCGGGGTTTGAAACGGTTCCAATGGTGACCACCATCAGCATGTATTATTTATTCATCTACGAAAGTTAAGAATTTTTTAATTTTAAAAACTCGAAAATCTCTAGATCACTTAGCACACCCTTCACCCAGGCACTTTTTTGAACGGATCTCAGACATGCTATATATTATCTGAAAACGGAGGACGAGACGGTTCCAATGTTGACCATCCCGGCGTACAAGATAACGGCCCCGGAACTCCCAGAAATTCGCCAAACCACCGAGAACTTCTGAGCATCCAGCACCTCCGGGACAACGTAGCCAATTCATTATGCTTGTACGCAACGCAATTTCGAAAACAGGCTGTTGTCGTTTTGAGCTTACTCGGAGCTTACTCTTTGCTCAAGTTTTCTTCCCGCATTTTCGCGTTCTTATCTTCGTTTTTGGTTTCAACGTCGTTTTCGATCCTTCTATTTTCAAGTCGAGCATTACGGATGCGATTTTGTGCTGTTTTACCGTAGGAGGCGCACACGCTCTTATGCAAGCTTGCTTCGAATCGTTTTTTACTCGTTTCTCTTCGCCGTTCGCGTTGTTTCGCCGTTTTTGGCTTCTACCTCGCTTGTTTTGGCTTCTACCTCGCTTGCAACTCTTCTTCTTTCAGGTGATACATTGTCTCTTTTTGTTACAGGCAAAGCTTTGCGGATGCGGTTTTGTACCAGTTTTATACCATTTACATAGAAAGCGCATGCAGCTCTCATGCAATCTTGCTTCGAACCATTTTACACACATTCCTCTTCCGTAATCTCGTGTTCCTCCGTTTTTAGCTTCTACGTCGTTTGCAACTCTTTTTCTTTCAGGTAAATCATTCTTTGCGCTTTTGTGCGTGACGTCTCTGTCTCTCAGCCCTCACATATCATCTTTTCTAGTGTCGTTTGCTGCTACTCTCATTAATAAGCTAAGGTGAAACCACTCAGTTCAAGAACATCATCTAGAAAGCAATTTGAATATTCAATTGACTAAGAGATAGCCTACATCATTTTGAAGTCACGTAGAATAAAGTTTTCAATTTGGAATCCAGAAATCCCTTTTGAGCGGTTCGATATGCTGATTTTGGTTATCATACTCTTTTTCGTTCCGGAAGTTTTGCGGAAGTTTCTTAGTTCCCCCCTTTTTTGTTTCCAACGTTTTGGCGCTTTCAAACGCTGATGATCAGGGTAAAGCGGGGGGTGCGGCACGCCGCAAGGGGGGGTCGTAAGGGGGGGGGGTAGGTAGGGGGGTCGTATCGACCCAAGGTCAAAAGCGGTTTCTAAGGGGAAATGACTGCAGCTAAGTTCTTAGATGTGCCACGCTGTTGAAATCCTGCAAAATTCAAGTTCAACGACACAAACTTGCAGATATCGTATGCCTACCGTAACCTACCGTACCTCTAATCAAGCATAATTGTCGTAATCCGCGTGTCGAATAACCCCTATGCGCCAAGTTTCAGCGAACTCTGAGGTCTCCGAGCAGTAAACAACCTTGTATAAAGCAGTAATTTAAAACATGATTAACTTCATCTTAACGGTGAGTAAGCTACCTCTTCTTGCACTCAATACAAAGCACTACTCCTTCTTTGTCCACCTCAGGAATCCCGCTTCAGAAGACCTCCAAACTATTGAATTAGAAGCCAACCAAAATCGCTTTTAGCTTTTAATCGCTGTGCTTTCACCAAATATTACTCAGAGCTAAGAAGACGAATCAGGCTCAAAACATCCCTATGGAATCTATGAGGTTTAGGCTATTGATTCATATAAATATTGTCCGCTAAAAATGTTTTTTTGATATAGTTAATGGCCTGCGGCACCCCCCCCTCAAAACCTGCGGCTGCCGCAGGTTTTGAAGGGGGGTGCCGCAGGCCATTAACTTACCTTCAAATCGTTCAAACAGCTGCCTTTTTCATATCATCCTATAGATTCATCCTTCCTCTCTCCGTAGTAGCTGTTTCCCCTCGAACCTTTTTCTTTAGAAGGAAATACATGTGGTTTTTGCGAACCATATGCTGGGAAGTGTGGCTAAAAAATATTGGGTTACGGTAGCGCTCAAAGATTGTCAAAACACACAGAGGCGCGAGATACGCGCCTTTGAATCCCACTCTCGTTATGAGCTGTGATGTTCTCGCCTTTTTGTTCTTTTTCATCACTTGTTTCTGCCATTGTTTTTCAGAAAACTTCAGCCCTATCAGCTCCTTCAGCCCAGATCGTACAACGGCCCTTAGTAGTCTTGCGACCTTCGTGCACAGACGACCCCAACACTGGCATTTTCCCTAGAATAGTCCTGTGCGATGTTGCAAGATTTGTAAGTTATTATCTATTGGTCGTTATCATTATGATGTATATTGCAGGCCTTGGCAAATCTGCATCAAGAACATATGCAGTGCGTACTAATGCTCAACTTTATCTACGAGAAGATCTACACCTTCCTGTGGTTCTGGGTTTTCGTTGCCATTGCATCTACTTTCTCAGCAGTAAGGTACACGGTCGCATTGTTTCTACCAATGTATCGCGGGCTAATTGCTGACAACTTTTTACCGGTGAGTTTTCGAAGAAAAGTTCTTATCTCATAATCTTACTTCAGACACAAGACGTGCTTTTTTCGAACTTTGCTGCTGAGCATGGTGTACGTCCAACCCCAGTCGCAAGTAGAGCGCTTGTGGATTATTTTGTGCACAAAATTCTCAGGTACCTCTCAGGCAATTTATTTCATCTCTCATTTCAATTTATTTCATTCACCAGTTTTCTGCATTCCAATCATTGGGCTGTAGATGGGCGAATGAACATTGCCTGCCTTCCTATTTGCATTCAATGTTTTAATTTTCGAATGTTGCTTCGCTCACTTAGTTAGTTAGACAGTGTTGGCTCCTCATAACCGAGACGAGCGTCGAACACGGCTCAGTAGAAATAGGTAATGGCGCAAGCTTCGCTTTTTGGCTCGTATCGCCTTTCTATGTAATCATCAAAAACTTGCTTTTGTGCATGCGTCCCCCTATTTCATGCCGATTGTGGCTTAGAGTAGATAACAACGGGACTTTGAGCTCCCTTTTGTCTTTAAGTTAACAGAGATTTTTTGAAGGTCCATGGTGGCAACGGACCTGGCAAATTCTATCATGAATGCATACGTAGTTGCTTCTACTGCTCAATATTCGATGACTGTTGAAGTAGGAGCAAGATCGTCCACATTTCACTGTTCGATGGCTAATTTCAGGTCACGAAACCCGTGTAGGCCTTTTTTGGAATATGTGCACTTTACTTTACCCCTCTGCATCTTGTTGGAAAACACTTTTGACAGCGCAGTCAATCATACTCAGCTTTTTGAATCGTACATCCTACTGTGTTCTTCACTATAACTGAACTTGCTTTCTTCGGTTGAGCGTCTGAATCTTTTAGAATTAAAAGCTGATTTCCTAAATCAGGTCAATGTTTACCGTGTGTAGTGGATGTCGCCATCCATTTATGTGACTTTTATGCTTGTTAGGAATGCGCCATACTTGATCCGCTGATCCACTTGATCAATTCAATCCACTTCGTTAATGGTCAGTTTGCTGATCTGACCAATAGCGAAGTGGATGAATTGGATCAAGTGGGCATCCGCTTTGCCATTGGTCACTTTATAGATTTCCAATAGTGAATGTGGATGAAGTGGATCAAGCGTATCAAGTGGATCAAGTATGGTGCCCTATATGAATCATATATTCGTGTATACGCTATTTCTGACTTTCAGATGTGATGGCATTCTCTTACTTTCATTCATAAATGTGAACGCTGGAGGTCTTGTTACGCACGATATCGCGCACCAGCTTTGGAAAATCACCGTGCAGCCCACGTTCAAGTATGTTTCACAACTTTGAGATTCATCAAATTGTTGCCAAAGCGAATTCGACAGGGGCGCCGCCACAGTGTCTCCATCCGAGGAGTGCACCATGAGAAAGGAGTCTGAGATGAGGAAAGATTCGGGGATGTTGTACTGGCCGAGCTTCATTAACCTGCCTGCAACTGTAATATATTCATTTGAGACATTTAGAAGCACAATTATCCTGTTATTTTGCTTCTAGGTAAGAAAAATGGGCTTGGCAAAGCGAATGGAGGCTGCTGGTGACAGCCGGGATGTTTCTTTCAATGACAAAAAGTCATACGCAATAGCACAACCCATGGTACGCATGCGTTCTCTCAGTGTTGGTGTAAGTTGTCACGACGTACACCTCAGTCGATCGATGGGGTTTGAAGTTAGCGGGTTAAATTGCAGAATCTGGAAGCCGAGCCTACAGCTCCTATGGAATCTTCGCCTTTGATTTCTGACGGATCTACTCAAGCCGTCGAGGACTCGACGTGTCCCATTCAGAGGTATTTTCTAATATCTGCAGTGCTTATAATATGTAGTTCTCTTAATGACTCCGTTGCAGTCTTCCTGCTTCACCTGGTGGACGACGCCGTTTTGCCAACGGAGGACCAGGAGTTGCTTTTGTCGACAATCGTTCTGAGAAGAAGTAGAACAAATTGTTTGAAATGGTGTGCTAATAATCTTAATAAGAAATCTAGCTCTAGTGTAAGTTCTCTACGGCGTTTGTTGAAATAAAAATATACCGAATGTGAGTTGAAGCTGTGAAAGGCAAAGGCATCGTCCACCCAAATTGGGGTTGGTGAGACTATGATACCTAGCAGATGCAGAGCCCCCAACTAAATGATTGCCCAACTTGCGCTGCCTGAAGCTGCTTCCGAACCGAAAAAACTGCTTCGGAAATCGCTTCTGGCCCCGTTCGCGACGCTGGTTCCTCCCCTTTCGGAGTGGGCGTGACGTTCGTCCCGCCCATCCGTGCGCGCCCAACCAATCACGTACCGAAGAAATCGCTCTGCGGGTTCTGGAGACAGGGGTTTTTCGTGGTTTTCGTGGATTTTCAACTTGATATTCGCAATCAGAGGTATGAGAAGGCCCTGGAACGGCAAAAACATGGAGGTCGAAATTCCGGGTGGACGGTGCCTTCAAGAGCGAGAAGGGGGGGGGGGGGTCGTGCCGAGGTCCGGCCCAAGGGGGGGGGGGGGTCGTATCCGACGGTCGTGTGCCGCACCCCCCGCTTTACCCTGCTGATGATCACTACATGACAGAGGGTTGATACGCTATTTGAACTCATTCCACCCGGGACCACTTGCTCACATGCTAACTAGCGATTGCGTCATCTCCATCCTGATAGTGATCGGTTATTTGAGCCATCTATTCCCATGCCTGTTTCATCTTCATCCTTCGTATTACAAGATGTTCTTTTCTCAGCTCTTACATAGCATCTTATCCTATGCTTCCACTGCTCGCTCTTCGCAAGCATTAACAGGCAAATTAAACCTACTTGTCTCTAGTAATTATAATCTAAGGTGATTCTTTTGGCATTCATATGTGGGATACCACTGTAAAGTGTTTTTTGGCACTCTTCACCTATTCTATGCAGTTGCAACCTTCAAATTTTCGACAAGCAGTCCTTCGGACCATATCGAGGTAAGTGCTCCTTGAGTTTTTATGTCTTTGTGAGGTACCAGATTAGTGTTAACTCAATCTCAGCTACAAAGATATTTCGTGGAAAAGGTAAGTCTTTAGATATGCAGTTAATTGGAGATTTCACTGTTGTTTTTATCATTGTTTTCCCCTGCCTCTCAGCGTTTATATATTTCCAACTAGGATTTTGAGCGCGGTTGCACTCTGCCGCCCAAACAGGATAGGAGGAACTTTAACGCAACTTCGGAAAAACTTATCGGAAAGGGTTTTTGCTATGCATCACTTACGCTCGATAACAATATATTCCATTGTATTAGGTGTATAACATTAAATTATTTGGATCACTCTGTTATACTCGTTTTGATGACTCCCCTTCGCTTAACCTTTGCCAACACTTGACTTTTTCGCTTTTATGGTTTGATGTAAGTGATTTTAGGATTGCAAACAAAATATAGTTCGTGTTCCGGATTCACGACATAGTTGGAGATGTCGAACTTGTCATCGCACGACATGAGTGAAGCCGAAATGTTTTGAAATCATTGTCATAAGATGATGGTCTGGGCTTTGAGGTGACAACTTTCAATGCGCTAACAGCAGAGAGTCCCTGAACATTTGGCAAGCATTACCGAATGAGTGTAATCCGCCCTTAGCTGGAGATACCTCGATTGGAGCAAAGATCGTCTTCAAAGCAACTTCCCTCGTTTTTCCGAATATGGCGGTGAACAGATTTTGTTTCAATCCTCTGAAACTTCCATTTGCAACGTCTTAGCATATTTTGGGTCTGGTGACAAAGAATTAGTTTCGATACAAACTCTAAAAACATCATTTTGAATAAACGATTAGCAACTGCTGCAACTTCACACTTTGCTTAATCTTTCTTTGAAGCAAAGCCAGTCTACACGCTTAATTAGAATGAATCATAAAATCGTGGTAATGGCTCGGCCACTTGCGAAGCATACGCATTTCCAATTTCTTGGCTCCCAAGTCAACTCGACTGGTTTTTTTGCATACACCTACCCCAGCTTCAAGAGGAGGTCCCAGAACCCAAAATGACTACCAAGATCGTGATCAGCATGTCAAATAGCCCCTAGGCCAAACTCCATTCAAGTGTGCAATTTTGGGTACTACTCCACATTAGTTGACCCAAAATTTTAAAGTCGCGGATATCGCTAAAACTTTATCTAGGGGGGTGGGGGGGGGTATTTGCGCGCTGTTTACAAATATCACATTTATTTTTCACTGTAGTGCCATCTGGTGGAGTTAAGGTAAGACTACGGGGCTAAAATTAGGATTTGCTCCAAACTTCGTCTACAGAGGTTATTTGGCACTCTGAACATGAATTTTAAACTTATTTTTACACTAACGCCATTCTCGGATAGTGGGGATACGGCCGATGGCTTTTGTTTTGTTTAGAAAAATTACTAAGCATGCTGATTACGAATATCAGACTCGTTCGCTGCAACAAGGCTCTTTATAGAGTTACAGTGCTCGAAGAAACAATTCGCTTCTCAGCTCACTGTAGGTCCCAACCACAGAAAGGCTTTATAATGTTAGACGAGCGCGATATATGCGACCAGCACGTCAAGTACCACTTGCACAAAGTTTCGAACAGAATTACTGTAATTACCTAAACACCTATCGTAACTGCGCGAAATCTGCGAAGAGGTTATCTAACGCGAAAAGAAGCATGACATGCGCAGTCAGCATGCTTGAGCCCCTTTAGGCAAAGTTTTAAGCATTCGGAACTTTTTGCCATTATCGTAGTTTCAGCGAGATCTGAGATTTTGACACTGTATGTCTGCTTACTCCTTCCTACCCCCCCCCCTACCCTTCCCCTAGGAAGGCCCTAACATGCAAAATAAAAGTAATTTACGTTATCGGCAAGTCAAAGAAGCCCCTCGTCAGAGATTTTTAACGAAATCCACAATCTTGCTTTTTTGGGATCAGATTGATTAGCGCCATGTATTAATTAATGCTAAGTTGTTGTCACAATCCCATCGCTACGGGCGCAATCGTATCTTAGGACACACCAGGGCTCTATGTTAGGTGATGTACGTTGTAAGACAAAGTGATCCTCAAGCCTTCCACCAAACGGCCATTCAATGAAAGCTATGCTGAAGTAATTTAGCTTGTAGAATGGCTTCGCTTCAAAGACAGATAAGCAGTGTAAAACTGCCGCAGTTACTTTTGTACTAATAGTTGATTCGAAATGAGATATGTTTTTGGAGTTTGTATTCGAAACCTCTTTGCTACCACACCATAAGTGTGCTAAGGAAGTGCATATGAAAGTTTTAGAGAGCTTAGAACAGAATCTGCTACAGGCCCGAAAAAAGAGGTATAACGTAACGTGCTCTAAAAAGATTCATGCTCCAATCGAAATATCCCCAGCTAAGGGCGGATCTACAGTCACTTAACATTACCGACCTTCTAGGTTAGCAAAACCGAGCTAGGATAGCGCTGTATTAGATATGAGCTAATGCTTTTTTAAAAGCTATCAAACTTTGCCTTGGAAAAGATGTAGGAGTTTTTGGATTCTCGGCAGTGCTATATGCTTTTTTGGATGGCATCGCCGTTAAACAAAGTTTCTCTAGAGGTACATCAGAAATCATTTACTGATACTCCCACCCTTCGAGTATTTTTACATCATCGTTTTCGGCCTTCCATCGCCACGCTGCGAAGCGCACAAAGATCGTGCTTTGGCCCATGTTTCGCCAAGCTGGGGGAACGCGACTACTTGTGGAAGGGAGGGGAGGGCAAACTGAACCAAAGCATTGAACTTTTCACGGAAGTATAATCCTTCAAAAAGGATGAAGAGCGAGGGATGCGCTGTAGTATTGGATCTCCTGCGAACACTTTGTAAAGAAGTGTGCATGTCCCAAAAACTTTGCGAAGAAGTCGATTGTTTAATTTGCCAAAAGCCATCGTCGACATCTTTATTGGTAGCGCTTTTCTTTTGATATGTTTTATCGGAAACAAAGTGACAGAATATACAAATTTTTACCCTCATTGGACTAAGTTCATTACTGTAATTGTAAGCTAGTTTACCCCTTCACCCCGCTTCACCCGTCACGGACCGACTCAAAGGAATCATGGCAGAGGAGTCAATACCAGATTATTTGGAAATGATGACCGAGATTTTCCTCGACACCAAGAAGGGGATCACAGAGTTCAACCAAAGGATGTGCGCCCTCGTCAGCGAAAACGAGAAACTTATGAAGGAAAATAGTGAGCTGAAAAATCAAGATACTTTTTTTGTTTCTGAACGTGATTCTGAATTGAAAACATCTATTATTGTTGCTGGTGTACCTTGATTTCAAAGCTCGACTTCCTCTCAGAATGCTTTTCACGATTATAGTTATGCTCTTTACTAATGGACTTTCTCATTATATGTCTTCCTACTCTGCCTACCGTATGGCAAAAAGACATTTCAAACATTAAAATTGTATTACCAGCTAGTGTTTATCAAAGACGAATGATATCACGTGCACCCAGATCGAGGTTCCTCCCCAGCAAAGGCGTTTACGTACGTCCTTCATTACCGGGGGAGGGGGGGGGGGGGCTTCGTTTTCAAAAAGCCTAGAAACGGACCCATACCAGGCCCTTGTCCGCATTAGGGAAAAGCGCCAGTCCAACATTTCTAGTATAGCTGCTAATGAGCATAATTTGCGTCCTCCGGATACTCTTACATCTTCAACGTCTCAGAAAGTTGATTCTATTTCTATGCCTTCCCCGCTCGTTAGGACCTGGGCCCGGCACGAGTCGGTTTCTAGGGTTACAAAACGAAGTCTCCCCTGACTTTTGGAACTTATACGAAGTCCCCTTTGACCTACCTTTAGGAAAGATGAAGCAATGAAGATTTACTGTCTGAACGAAAAAACATGAGATAAGATTGAAAATCCAGATTGGAGCTGAATGCTACGCATGCGCAAGAGTTTGGCAATGGAGCGCTATTTAACAAAGCGATTTATGAAGAAATTAAAGCAAAGAACAAAGGAAAGGCAGTGATAAAATGTTTTCATGCTCAGGGATAGATTTTTGACCGTGGAATCTGTCCATAATAGAAGAATCCAAAACTTATGTGAAGTTACAGAAATATATGCTACAGAC